GGCCCGCCAAACAACAATGATGGCTGCAACCAAAAAATGGCCGGGTGTTGTGGTGGGCACCTGTAGTCCCAGCTACTTGGGAGGCTGAGGCAGGAAACTCACTTGAGCCCAGGAGTTGGAGGTTGCTGTGAGCGTGATGCCATGGCACTCTACCCAGGGGGATGGCTTGAGGCTCCGTCTCAAAATAAATAAATAAATAAATAAAAATCAACTTGTCTGTTCTGTGTGAGATAAAAAGACTCAGGACCCCATCCTTGACTTCAGTGTGGGTGACTGTGTTGGCACTGGCTAAGGACTTAAATCTAAACAATGCCAACACAGGGTGCTAAGTGCCATGATGAAGAAAGCACAGAGCATTGTGAGAAGAGGCCCCACTTGTCTGAGAAGTTATACAATGCTTCTTGTGATGATACTTGACAAGACATTCCTGGGAGGAGGAAAGAGATATGCAACAGGTGATGGGCCTGAGACCCCCACATGCCTGAAGAATAGAGTTTGGAGAAGGAAAGCAAGATTTGAGTTGAGGTGTCAAAAAATCTTTCTGGCCACTGTATGGATAATAAATAAGGAGAAGTGTATAGGAAAGGAAGTTGTTGCATTTGCCCAGGCTTGAGATGATGATGGTCTGCATTAGGATACAGTGGTAATGATGGTGGCAGAGAAAGAATAAATTCTAGAGACACTGAGGAGGTGCAGAAATAGGGCTTCCTCTCTTGCCTAACACACTGCAAGAGCCTCCTGACTGGTTTCCCTAGTTCCACGTTTGCCCTCCATCCTACCACAGACTATTCCAACACTGGAGCTAGACTAACACTTTTAGAACTATGCGCATGCCACACCTCTGTTCAGCACCTTCCAGGGGCTCCTCATTGTCATTCAGGGTAAAAGCCAAAGTCTCTGTAATGGCTAACACAATCTGGCCCTGGCCCCCTCTCCTATTACTAGTTCCACTCTAGCCCAACAGTCTTCTTCAACAAACCAGGGCCAGTCCACCTTTATTTAGCTGTAATTCTTTGCCCAGACATCCACATGACACATGCCATCACCTCCTTCCAAGTTTTTGCTCAAGTGTCACATTCTCAAGGTGGCTTACCCCATTATCTTCACTGATACTTCAACCTACTTCAAGCACTCCACTACATTCCTAATCTCTTTTATTCTGCTCTACTTTTCCCCTGGTGGCACTTATTATTTTCCGACACAGATTTTTCACTCACATTATGCCCATGGTTTGTTGGCTTATCACATCTGCTAGGATAAACTTCCCAAAGGCAGAGATATTTGTATTGTTCCCTAACATTGGAAGCTCCTGGAACAGGAGATAGCTGGTACATATTTGTAGACTAATTGAATGAACTTAATTACCAGTTTGGATGTGGGGGCAAATGGAGAGGAACACAGTGAACATGATGCCCAGGTTTTTAGAACTGGGGTGTGGATGGAGTACAGGGACAATGAAAAGCAGGAGAGATCCAGCTGGAGATCAGACATGGATGTCATCAGGATCCGGGGAGGGGGAGGTTGAATCCACAGGAGCAGAAGAAATCATGCAGAAAAGGTAAAGAGAAAGGGCCAATGTGGACACCAACATTTAAATGAAGGGATGGACAGGCCAGGTGCGGTGGCTCATGCCTGCAATCCTAGCACTCTGGGAGGTTGAGCTGGGTGGATTGCTTGAGCTCAGAAGTTTGACCAGCTTGAGCAAAAGCAGAACCTCATCTCTACTAAAAACAGGAAAACTGAGGCAAGAGGATCACGTGGGCCCTACAGTTTGAGATTGCTGTAAGCTATGATGATGCCATCGCACTCTATCCAGGGCAGCAGAGTGAATGTCTCAATAAATGAATGAATAAATGAACGAATAAATAAAGGGATGGGTAGAGGACGGGGGTAGATGCATAACCAGAGAGCAAAAAGAAAAGTAGGGAGAGGAGACTTTCAAGAAAGAGTGGTTGAGTCAGGAAAAGACTGAAAGCTGACCATCGGATGTAGTCACTAGAAAATCATTGGTGGCCTTGTAGAGAAAGCCAGCTCGTAACTCCTCACAAGAACTTGTCAGGTCAACAGACGGTGGAGAAAGTGGCTGAGATCGACAGCATGGGGATTTAGAAGCAAGCAGACCCAGCGTCAATTCTAGGAGAGGTCTTACCGAGCCTGTGAACCTCATTTGTTCGACATTTAAAATGGGGATAGCACCCCCTAGCTTACAAACTGAGGTAACTGATGGTTACAGAAGACCACGGAGGAAAACCAAGGAGAGGAATGAATTAGCACCCTTTTCTCAAAGAGTGGACTGAGCTGGCTGCGACCCAGACAGAAAGTGAATTACTACGGGACAGTCCAGGACCAAGGGGGGTCTTGGCTACGGTCCAGGGCTAAACGATATACCGACAACAAAACTGCAGGCACGCGACGCTGAAGTCAATTCCTTTGCATACAACACTCCCGTCCCAAAATCAGCAGAAATTAAAGGTCTTCTCCTCAGTGCTGGGCACACCTGGCTGTCCCTCCCTTTCGTGGGGCGGCGAACGTTCCTAGAGGCCAGACAGGGATCACCTGCTCACTGACTGCATTTTCCCCAATACCAGCCAGCTGGGGGAGGATCCAGTCCTAGGCAATACAAACTTCCGCCCCTAGCGACCACTTACCTGCTCTTTTCCTTCTATAGGCCATCAAATTTCGTTTCTTTTCCTTATTGGTCCGCGTAACTTTATCGCAGCCAATCAGTGACAGCCACGGGACCAAATCCACTCCCACACGACTCCGGGAGTGATCAGGAAGACTAGTTTTTGTTTTCTGCATACCGTTCTCCCAGAGAATACTTTGTTAAACTGCTGTGACTCTCTGTGAAATGAGACTCTAAAACATTTTATTCCCCTTAGGCCTGTAAAGTCTGTCCCTTGCATACTCCCCCTCCAAGCGGTGGGGCGCGCTCACGCTCCACCTCCCAGGCGCTTTGAAAACCAGAGTCCCCCCACTAGAGAGGTTGAGTCCACGCTGCGGTCCAGGCCGTACCATCTGTGACTAATTTACAGGAGGACTCCAACTCCTCCCCTGCCCGCCCGGTTATCCTATTCCGTTCTGGCCACTCGCGTCTCTTGCTCAGCCCCTTCCCGTGGGCTCAAAGTCCAGAAAAGGTGCCGAGAGCGCCACTTCCGGCACTGGGGAGGCCGCTGGAGGCGGGGTAGTCTGCCTTTGGTAGGACCAGCACCGCGCCCCGCGCCGCCGGAAGTGAGGTGTCTTACCCCCAAGTTCCGGTTCGCAGGGGGTGGGGAGTGCTGTTAACCGGAGCGGTCGCCGCAGTCGCGGGGATTGAGCGGGCTCGCGGCGCTAGGCTCCTGGTGAGTGAGGCGAAGTCTAGCCCGGGTTGCGGTTGGGGTCGGGACCTGGACTTTCTCCCTGAAGTCTGCGGGATCGGCGCGCCCCCCTAGCACCTACTCCCGCTTTCGGCCTGTCAGCTGGCGGTAGACTTGTAGCGCTGGGGCGGCCGCTCTTCTAAAGGCTGGGCCCTACCTGCGACGCTCGCAACTCCTGCTGCTCAGAGGTGCGCAACCCGTGAAGGCAACCGAGTCCCACTCTGCCCCGCCACTGCACCCTGCGGATCAGCCGTTTCTCCGGTGCCCTGAGTTGACACTGCCCTGGTGGTTGAGGGGCGCCAGGGTTCCAGGCTGACGTACCCAGCTCGCTCCCGCGGGGCGCGCGTCCGAGCTGCCCACCCTAACACAGCTGTCACCAGCGCTTTAGCCTACCCAGGCTGCGACCTCCAGCGCTTTAGCTTCTCCCAGCCCAGGCCGCGTTCCCTCCCCCTGGAGCAGATTTCTGCTTTAGCCTTCCACCCCAACACCTCTCCCAGGACAGCGGTGGCAGTTCCCTCCTCCTTCAACGTTGCTGCTTTTCCTTTTTGCCTCCCCAGAGAAGGCGATTTGACAGGCAGCGTGAAAGGAGCCCTAGATTTGAAACAAGACTGACCCAGGTTCTAGGCCTTGCATCAGTGTGATCACTTAACCCCTTTGAGTCTCAGTTTTATTTGTAAAATGGGGGAGCATGTACTATTCTTGATCTGATGACTGTGAGGGTGAAATGCAATTGTTTTTTCTGTCTCCTATTTATTGATGCAGTGCCAGGCACTGTGGTGAGTTTGCACAGCATGAACATCGCGTGAGTTCTTTTGTTTTCTTTACTCATGTAGGTCTCTGGACCAGGGCAATGTTCCGCACCGCAGTGATGATGGCGGCCAGCCTAGCGCTGACAGGGGCAGTGGTTGCTCATGCCTACTACCTCAAACACCAGTTTTACCCCACTGTGGTGTACTTGACCAAGTCCAGCCCCAGCATGGCTGTGAGTTCTGGGCTCCAGGGAGGGAGGAGCTCCCTGGGAGGGAAGGAGGAGTCTGCCTGGGACAAGGGTGGGGCTAGAGGTCAGGTAAGGAGCTAAGTAGCTACCAGCTGCCTAACTTTGAATAAACTGTGATGAGGATGGGAGGTTCCTGAACCATGAGCCCCAAGCAGAGGAAAGCAGAAAGTGACTTCAAACCATAGCCTTGCCCTACTCCTAGGTCCTGTACATCCAGGCCTTTGTCCTTGTCTTCCTCCTGGGCAAGGTGATGGGCAAGGTGTTCTTTGGGCAACTGAGAGCAGCAGAGATGGAGGTAAGATGTTGGTAGCCCCAAGGGTGAGGGGCAGGGCACGGGGCAAGCAGAATGTCTCCATATTATTCCCTGCCTGACCCCCAGCACCTCTTGGAACGTTCCTGGTATGCTGTCACTGAAACTTGTCTGGCCTTCACTGTTTTCCGGGATGACTTCAGCCCCCGCTTTGTTGCCCTCTTTACTCTCCTCCTCTTCCTCAAGTGTTTCCACTGGCTGGCTGAGGACCGTGTGGACTTTGTGAGTTGGGTCAGAGGGTTCTCTGGAGCAGGTAGAAGTCAGGTGGTGGCCGGTGGGCAGGCTTGTGGGATAGTGAGGGCTGAGTTGGGGGTGTGGGGTGAGCCTTAGCCTTCCTGACAGGCCCCTTCTCTGCTCTGCCTCAGATGGAACGCAGCCCTAATATCTCCTGGCTCTTTCACTGCCGCATTGTCTGTGAGTGAGACTCATGGGGGAAGGGGGTCAAAGGGAGGAGAGGCACTGTGGAGGATCGGAATGTGAAGTCACTAGCCATGGACCCGACCTGAGAGCACAAGCTGCCCCCTCAGCTCACAGCTGTACAGGAAAGATAATTTAGGAAGTTAATTTGCATCATGTCTGTCCTGTTCCACTCCAGGGCTTCTCAGCTGCCTGGGCCCATAGCTCTTTGCCTCCTTACCTGGAGCTTGGGCAGCCCTAGCAACCCCCTACAAAGGCAAAATTGGAGTTCCCAGAGGGTCAGGTTTAGTGAAGTGTGCCCACCTGACTAGATGGCTGGGACCATGGTGGGCTTAGGGGTGGGGCTGTCCTAGTGCAGGAAGTAGGTGTCAGGCCCAGGGCTGACCCCTCCTCCCTCATTTGTGTGGTCCCCACAGCCCTTATGTTTCTTCTGGGTATCCTGGACTTCCTCTTCGTCAGCCATGCCTATCACAGCATCCTGACTCGTGGGGCTTCTGTGCAGCTGGTGTTTGGTTTTGAGGTAAGACTGGCTTGGGAGGTTGGGAGGGGGGGTGTACAAGCCTGGCACTACATGTGGAACTACATGTGCCTGAGCACCTGCCATCTTGCCAGCTCCATGCTGGCCACCAAAGAGCATTGATCAGCTCTAGCCCCTGTCCTCCACACACTCACTCCTAGGCAATCAGGCAAGAGTACAAAAAGAGGCTGGAAAGGGGGAAGTGCCCGATCCTGGGGCAAAAGCCCTATCTTCAGCAAAAGCTTCCTGAAGACTGATACCAGAGCTGGCTGTTGATGGACAGGAGGGAATCAGCTTGATGGGAAACTGGGGAGGCACATCCCTGGCAGAGGAAGAATATGTTCCGTGACAACAGCTTATGTTTGTGTTTTGGAGGAGGGGGATTGAGACAGAGTCTTGCTCTGTCTCCTAAGATGGAGCATGGTGATGTCATCATAGCTCATAGCAACCTCAAACTCCTGGGCTCAAGTGATCCTCCCACCTCAGCCTCCCCAGTAGCTAGGACTATAGGCATCTACCACTACACTGATTTTTCTGTTTTTTGATAGAGACAGGGTCTTACTCTTGCTCAGGTTGGTCTTGAACTCCTGAGCTCTAGTGATCCTCCTGCCTTGGACTCCCACAGTGCTGGGATTATAGGTGGGAGCCACCACACCTGGCCAATAGCTTGTATTTGTTGAGTGCTTACTGTATGCCAGGCGGTGCCGAGCTGCTGATCCACATCTCTTTTCTTTTTTTGAGACAGAGTCTCACTTTGTCACCCCAGGTAGAGTGCTGTGGCATCATAGCTCATAGCAACCTCAAACTCCTCGGCTCAAGTGATTCTCTTGCCTCAGCCTCCAGAGTAGCTGGGACTGACTATAGGCACCCACCACAATGCCCAGCTATTTTTAGAGATGGGGTCTCACTCTGGCTCAGGCTGGTCTGAAACCCGTGAGCTCAGTCAGTCCACCCACCTCGGCCTCCCAGAGTGCTAGGATTACAGGTATGAGGCACTGTGCCCAGCCACATCTCTTAATCAGCAAGATACCACTGTTAAAAAAGGGATCAGTTAATTCTGTCCAGACATGTAAACTGAGGGTCAGCAAGTTGCTGAAAGTCACAGCGAATGAGTGGGGAAGTAGGAGGACCCTGGCTGTGTCCAGGGCCTGTGCTTGTACCACTGCACCCTGCTGTAAAGAAGCCTGGGTTGATCAGAGTGTGGCTGCAGCAAGTGGCAGCGGTGTGTTTATATTGTCCCACCATACCTCTCTTCCTCCAGTATGCCATCCTGATGACAATGGTGCTCACCATCTTCATCAAGTATGTGCTACACTCAGTGGACCTTCAGAGTGAGAACCCCTGGGACAATAAGGCCGTGTACATGCTCTATACAGAGCTGTTTACAGGTGAGTGGAACCTGGGCCTCACCTAACCTGGACCAACATCCCCTGTGCACCAGCAGACCTGGTGATCTGCTCTCCTGTGCATCCCTCACCCAGGCTTCATCAAGGTTTTGCTGTACATGGCCTTCATGACCATCATGATCAAGGTGCACACCTTCCCACTCTTTGCTATCCGGCCCATGTACCTGGCCATGAGGTAAGCCCAGCCCTGTCCCACTACCCTCCTGACCTCACCCCTCCTCTCTCTCTCCCTGCTTTCACTGACTGTCCTTTCAGACAGTTCAAGAAAGCTGTGACAGATGCCATTATGTCTCGCCGAGCCATCCGCAACATGAACACACTGTAAGTAGGCTTGTCTTGGCTGCTCTCCCAAGCCCTGCCCTGGGTCCCCTGCTTCCAGCTCTGGACCTGACACCACTCCTGTGTCCTAACCAGGTATCCAGATGCCACCCCAGAGGAACTCCAGGCAATGGACAATGTCTGTATCATCTGCCGAGAAGAGATGGTGACTGGTGCCAAGAGACTGCCCTGCAACCACATTTTCCATACCAGGTGAGAGAGGCCCTAGGAAGCCTGCACATCACAGCACAGGCCCCACAGGTAGGCCCCTGGGAACTTGCTGACCACTGCCTGATCTTGACCCCTAGCTGCCTGCGTTCCTGGTTCCAGCGCCAGCAGACCTGCCCCACCTGCCGTATGGATGTTCTACGGGCATCGCTACCAACCCAGTCACCACCGCCCCCAGAGCCTGCAGATCAGGGGCCGCCCCCTGCCCCCCACCCCCCACCTCTCCTGCCCCAGCCCCCTAACTGTGAGTGTCCCCTTGCTTAGCCATCCAACACACCATTGGGTACTTGCCCTGGTCTTGGTAGGGGGGATGCTGGGGAATCAAAGTTCCCATCTTCCAGCATCCCAATCCCAGCTGAGGAGGGGTGAAAAGAAATAAATGCTTGCTGTTAGTATGACAAGCACTGAGTACAGGGGTCTGGGATCTGGGTCTATCTCAGTTTGGCCCTTTTCTTACCACTGTCCTTTTCTGTGCAGTCCCCCAGGGTCTCCTGCCTCCTTTTCCTCCAGGCATGTTCCCACTGTGGCCTCCCATGGGCCCTTTTCCACCTGTGCCGCCTCCCCCCAGCTCAGGAGAGGCTGCAGCCCCTCCATCTACTAGTGCAGGTGAGCCTTTTGGGTGCTGTGACAGCTGGCGGGTGGCAGGGATGGAACCAGACACCCAGCAATAGTCACTTGCTTCTTTTATTTTTTTGAGACAGAGTCTTATTATGTCGCTCTCAGTAGAGTACTGAGGCGTCACAGCTCACAGCAACCGCAGACTCTTGGGCTTAAGCAATTCTTTTGTCTCAGCCTCCCAAGTAGCTGAGATTACAGGTGCCCACCACAATGCCCGGCTGTTTTTTTGTTACAGTTGTCATTGTTGTTTAGCTGGCCCAGTTTGAACCCACCAGCCTGGGTGTCTGTGATTGGCACCCTACTCACTGAACTATGGGTGCCACTGTCACAGCCACTGACTTCTTGTTCTTACTTCAGCAGCCCTTTCTCGGCCCAGTGGAGCAGCCACAACTACAGCTGCTGGCACGACTGCCTCTGCCCCGGCACCTGGCTCTGGCTCCCCCCCAGAGGCTGGCCCTGCCCCAAGCTTCCCCTTCCCTCCTCCCTGGATGGGTATGCCCCTGCCGCCACCCTTTGGTAAGTTGGTCCATTCTCTAGGTTGTTCTGGAGGCTGGGGTGGTGTCAGGCCAAGGCAGCACAGACTGAGACTCTACCTTTCTCCAGCCTTCCCCCCAATGCCTGTGCCCCCAGCGGGCTTTGCCGGGCTAACCCCAGAGGAGCTTCGAGCTCTGGAGGGCCACGAGCGGCAGCACCTGGAGGCCCGGCTGCAAAGCCTGCGCAACATCCACACACTGCTGGACGCCGCCATGCTGCAAATCAACCAGTACCTCACTGTGCTGGCCTCCCTGGGGTGCGTCTTTGTGGGAAGTAGGAAGGGTTAGTGGGGTAACAAAGCTGCCAAAAGGTCCCCAGCAGTAGCTCTTGGCCTTTGGCTATCTTGCCACCCTGTGACACCTGCTGATTCAGGCCTCCTGAGGGTTTTAGGGAGTTCTTGGTGACTCCTGGTGCATTTGTACCCTCTCATTCCAGAAAGCAAGTCTAGATATAAGTAGAAATGTTTATTAGAGAACTGGCCTTGAAACTTGTTCCTATGTATTTTTCCAAAGGCAAATTATTAAGAATCCACAGTGCTTTAATAGTTTAACACATAACATCCTCAGGTATAGTAACACTGAATTGCTGCCCCTAATCTGAGGAAGCAAATGATAGGGGTCACTTGGAGCCATCCTGGCCTAAATCCAGGTGCTAGGTCCATCACTCACTTGTTTTGTGACCTCCATTACTTCATTAGAATAGAGGAGGTTTTGTTTTGTTTTTTTGAGACGGAGCCTCAAGCTATCCCCCTGGGTAGAGTGCCATGGCATCACGCTCACAGCAACCTCCAACTCCAGGGCTCAAGCAAGTCTCCTGCCTCAGCCTCCCAAGTAGCTGGGACTACAGGCACCGGCTACAATGCCTGGCCATTTTTTTGTTGGTTGCAGCCATCATTGTTGTTTGGCGGGCCCGGGCTGGGGATTTGAACCTGCCACCTTAGGTGTATGTGGCTGGCGCCTTAGCTGCTTGAGCCACAGGCGCCGAGCCAGAATAGAGGAGTTTTAAGGGTGATTTTTTAAATTTTTTATTTAAATAGATGTAGGGTATATAAATGGTTTTTGTTACTTGGCTGATACGAGAATTTAAAGCTTTTAATATACCTGTCACCTGAATAGAGTACATTGTATTCAATGGGTAGTTTTTCATCCTTTATCCCTTCAAAGTCTCCCCTTGAGAATTCATTCTTACGTGGTAAGTACATAGTGCCTGGCACCCAGCAATGACAGCTCAGGCTTGGAGGGCTGCTGGAGTCCAGGGTTTGAGCACTTTGGGAACCTTATAAGGTGCCTCACACTTCATGGTAAAAGTGAACAGGTGAGCAGTCCCTGCCTGCAGGCAGTTCACAATCGAGGGGACAGAAGCACTTGACCCTTAAGTTGAGTCACACCATCCAAGGATTCATTCAATGTGTTTACTTCTGTCTGCTGGTCACTAGGGCCACAGTGGCACACGGTTCTAGACTCTTTTACAAGGCTCACCAGGGCAGAAGAATCTGTCCAACCCAGGATGCCAAGGCCAGGCCCACTTCTCTCTTTCCAGGCCTCCACGCCCTGCCACTTTAGTCAACCCGACTGAGGAGACTGCTCCCCCAGTTGTCACTGCTGCCTCCACCAGCATCCCGACCTCCGAAGCCACCACCCCATCCCCAGGAGCCTCCCCACCAGCCCCTGAAACTGAAAAGCCTCCAGGTAGGTATGATTATTCCTCAGTGGGATGAAGCAGGGGACTTCCCTGAGTTCTACTTCTGATCTTTCTGTCCACAGCTCCTGAGTCAGTGGGCACCGAGGAGCTACCCGAGGATGGAGAGCCTGATGCTGCAGAGCTGCGCCGCCGCCGCCTGCAGAAGTTAGAGTCTCCTGTTGCCCACTGACACTGCCCAGTCCCAGCCCTTGCCCTCGCTCTCTTGAGCAGCACTCGCTGGAACACGTCCTGCCACCAAGTGCCAGCTCCCTTTATCTGTACCAGGGAGTAGTAACCCCCAGCTCTGAGGAAGAGGAGGTGGCATCCCTTAGGCCAAGTGCAAAGAGGCCCAGAGTTCCCAGTTGGCTCTAGCCCTCAGAATCCCTGGCAGCCATGGGGCTCTTGAGGGGTCAGTTCCAGCCTTCTCCAATTCTTCAGCTCTGTGTTCTGCTGGGGCCCAGCTGGGGCCGTGAGAGCAGGAAGTTGAGCCTTTGAGACGCCCTCTTCCCCTGACTCCTTTCTGGGAAAAGGGGTAGTCCCTCTGATCCCTGCTTGTGTGTGCAGAGTCACACTGCAGTGCCAAACAGTATTAGCTTCTGTTCTCAAGTATAGGCTGAAGAGGGGCTGGAGGCAGGCCAGGAACTTGCTCCCTGGCCTACTGACCAAGACAGGTACCAATTTCCTTTTATTACCCTAATCTCCCCAGAAGCCCCTTGTGGTGGTGGCTGTGCCCCCTATGCCCTATGGCATTTCCATGTCTTACTGGCAACCACACAACTCAGGGAAAGGAGTGCCTGGGGGGTTGGGGGGCAGGCGGGCAGCACTGAGGGACCCTGCCCCTCCCCCAGGCTCCTTTCCCCTGCGGCTTCTCTCAGGTGAGACTGACCCATCTCACCCAGCAGCCACTGCCCAGCCACACTCCAGGCTGTAGGCTAGTGTGCCTGCTCCTTAACCACTGCAGACCCCAGAGCCCAAGGAAAGCCACTTCTCCACTTGCAGATCTTTTCTTGAGTTTAGAATTGGAATTCCTCACTAGTGTCTTTTGGCTTAAATTTTGTCTTTTGAATTTGAATGCTTAACTCCCGGAAGGAGGAGCAGAAGTGCCAGGCTCCTGATCCTTCCAGTTTAGAAAAGGCTCTGGGCTGGGGAGGAACCACAGGAGCCAAGGCCTGCCTGCCCACCCCAGTCTTCCCCTCCCCCTCAGTTTTGTGTTACAAGAGTTGCTGGAGACAGTTTCAGATGATTATTTAATTTGTAAATATTGTACAAATTTTAATAGCTTAAATAAATTGTATATACGGCCAAATAAAAACTTGCATTAACATTGGTGAGGCTTGTGTCATAGCATCAGTGTGTCAGGCTCCATTTCCTTGCTGAGGCTGTAGACTTAATACCCTGGAATCTCCTAGAGTGAGGGTTTCATGTAACCCAGCACTATCTTTGGGGAGAATGTTTATCATGAACTGATTAGGAAGATGTACCCATTTTACAGATGGAAAAACAGCCCCCAGAGAAGCTTAATACAGTGCCTTAGGTCAGAGATCAAACAGGAGAGCCAGGATCTGAAAGCTGTCTTAGCCGGTTTGATGCTGCAGTGGGGTGGGCACTCAGGCCTTTTACCTGTAACCCCAAGGACAAGGCAAGTGTCAAGGCTAGTTGGGTGGGATAGGATGGCAGGGACAAAAGGCCACCTTGATTCTAGGTCAGTAGGCTGGGGAGGATGGCCTTACGCTGGGCTTTGAGGAGCTCCCAGGCACTCCCTGGTGATCAGGCCAGCCAGAGCTAATCCCTTAACATCTGGGAGCTTGAAACTCTAAGGCCCAAGTCTGCTCTGGAATGAAATAGGGACCTAGAATGGGCCTCCTATCTCAGAAAGATCCCAGGGGGCTGAGGTTGGCACTCTGGCTCCATGTTTAGCAGTGCATTTAGAACCTGAGACCCCCCAGGACCCAGGCCTGAGAAATCTGTGTTCTCTAAGCTGGGTGTGGCCTAGAGAGCAAGGGCTCAGTAATGTTTGCAACAGTGAGCCTTAGAGGGCCAAGGAAGGAATGCATCAAGTAGGTCAGCCCTGGACTACCATCTCCTAAATTTTGTTGGGCTACTACTTCCATACAAGGACAACCCCTAGAATCTGAACAGCTGAGCCCAAGGAACCCCAATGCAAGAACAAGCCAAAGTGTGGGGGAAAACAGCAGCTAACACTCCCTGTCACTAGTTCCTGGTTGGTTAGGTGGCTCTCTCTCAGCGCTCACCCTGTGTATAGGGTCCCATTTATCCTTTTACACAAGCAAAGCCTGACCCTAAAGCCCTTCAGCCTTCACACTCTGCCCTGCACAGGCCCTTAGCCCTGTCCTCTGTATTCCTGTCCCAGGGGCTCCAACACCCATCTCCCTCCTCTTGAGGTCCACTGAACACCAATCTCTTGGGATGCTGTCACATAGGCTGTCTGCTGGTCTCAAAAGCCCTTCTCCAGGAGCCAGACTTTGAGCTGCTCATCAAAGTAGCCCTTAATCCGCAGGGTACCTGTCACCTCATTGACCTGGGTGATGGGTGTCTTCCCCAGCAATGGGCTCAGAAAATCTTCCACATCTTTCTTTAGAGCCTGGAAGAAGATGACAAATGAGGCCTGGTCAAGAGTCCTTTCCCTCTAGAGGACTCCCATCCCTTCAGCCCTCAAAGAATCAGAACCAAACCCCAACCCATCCACCCACTCACCCAAATGTCTCCCTCTACTTTCCGGATCACAGTCATCTGGCGGTTGCCATGTGTTATGTCCTTGTAGACAGGGATGTTGTGCATCCGAGAACGCCGAACAAAGTAAGGCAGGTCAGGTGGTGGGTCTGTGACAGGGAGAGACAGTGATAAACCAACTTTCCGTAGGCCTTACACCATCTCAGCCAAAGCCCTTCCCCTCACAGAGGGTTCTCATGCAGAGGGTCAGGGCTCAACTAGACCAAGCCACCTCCAGATTTCAGTTCAGGGATCTTCTCGTTCCTCCCACCCCGGTACCCCAAGGTCCTGCACAATGCCTGGCACTGAGTATGTGCTCAAGAAGTAAAGGAATCAGGGCCACGCCTGCCTGCCTCTTTGGGTCCACCCTTGCTCTTCTCTACTGGTCAGGGAGGCTGAAATCAATTTCTGTAACAAAGGGATTGAGATTTATGACCACCTGAACACCTACAATATGCTGGGCTTGGCACTAAGGGCTTTATGTACTGAGCAGATTGCCTTCATTTTACTGAAACTGAGGTTGGGAGAAACTAAGACCTCAAGTTCACATCAGCAGTGAATAGCAGAGCAAAATTAAAACCCAGACTCCCAAGCTATATTCTAAATTATGGTACATAGTCTTCTAGAGGAAGAAGGGATATCCAAGCTCTTGGGTTTTCTCTCTGTGCTTTACTTTGCCCCACTTGGCAAGTTCTCATCCCAATAATAGTGTGGGTGGTTGGGTACCAGTGAATCAGAGGGCTTCACTCCTGGGCCCTTCCATGGGCATGAGACAGGTAAGATTCACCTAGGATCTCAAGACAAACCCCAAAGCCACTGGGGAATCCAGAACCTTAGCTAAGGCAGGAAGAATGCTTCCCTGCAGCGTTAAAACCATCCATACCACAGAACTCACCTCTGGGAGGCTGCCAGCCACTGGGGGTGGGATAATGTTCATGCTTTGGGGGTTTTGGGATGCTGGTAGGGGGTAACAGGCGCTCTACAAACTGGTATTCATTCACAGACTCCACAAAGGTAGGGTAATCCAGAGGCCCCTGTGTCTGGCTCTGAAGCAAAACATACAAAAACCCCAGGTCTCCAATAGCCCATGCAACACAGGATAGGCAGAACTTCATTAAGTAGAGAAAGAAAACATTAAGGCAGAGAAAATGGCATAAGTAAAAGGCTGGGGGTAGGTGTAAAAGTTATCATAATCAAAATGGAGTTGCGTGGGTTTAAAAGTCCTAATAGAAGGGGAAGGCCTTGAAATGAGGGTTCTTACGCGCAAATACCTGATTAGGAGAACTATCTCAAAAGACTCCAAAAAACAGAACCTTGCAAAGTCCACAGCAATTGTACGCCAAAAAACACTTCTTCAAGGACACCTGCCCAGCAACTGCTTGTCCAATCTTGGGCTGGTTCCACCCTTGTTACTGATCCTTGTAGCCAAAGATAATCATCTAAAAACATTTATGTAATCCTCATGTTTCCTTTCAAAGCCTTTGTCTTCCTTTACCTTCCTAAATACATATATAGGTTACCCCTGTTAGCAAATAAATATATTTTTAAGAGTCTCTGTTATTTAGGTTGACATAGGATAGCACCAGACTTCAGTCTTCCAGGGTGTTAGGTAGTAATGTTCAGCAAAGGCACGCTGAACAGCCTGCCTCTCTTAGAATTTCTGTGGATTCAAATGAGAATTATGTGTTTATTTCCAAAAACCAATCAACCATAAAAACAGCCAATATAGCATTTGTCAATATTTAAATTTCCTCCGAACATCCTGTTGAAACATTCTAGTTCTGGACTAGGCACTTGAAGCAAACATGATATAATTCTCCACTCACAGTCACTAGATAGGATCCCTCCCCTTATCAGGAAGGTTTTGGCCTCAGACAGACAATGCCAGGCACCAGTACTGGTACTAAGTGCTTTACTGGCATTGTTTTCACTTAATTCTTGTAATGATACAAGTTAGGTATTTTATTACATCCTTTCTACAACAGGGAAAGGTTGACTTAAAGAAATAATTATACAGCTTGGCACCTGTAGCTCAAGCGACTAAGGCGCCAGCCACATACACCAGAGCTGGCGGGTTTGAATCCAGCCTTGGCCTGCCAAACAACATCTACAACGAAAAAGTAGCTGGGCGGCGCCTGTGGCTCAAAAGGGTAGGGCGCCAGCCCCAGATGCCGGAGGTGGCGGGTTCAAACTCAGCTCCGGGCAAAAGTGTCGCCAATGTTCGGGGACCGCCTTTACCCTGTAGCACGGTTTCCCCTTCGAAAAATTAGGCAGCGACTGTCCATGTGCAGCTCCTCTCAATCCTGCAGCCAAATTCCAACCCCTACATTGCTCCCAAAGAGCACTCCACAGTATCTGCCACTTTTTTTCTCAGTCTTGTGTCTACACTTGAGACAAGTTACCCCAGTTAGGAAAACTAAGGCTCCAACTAGGGATGCAATTTTCAGGGTTACAATGGACAACTGAGCCTCAGGCCCAGACTGCTACCCTCAGCTCAAGACTCAGAACTCTCACCAGCAGCCGTAACCCGCAGCCCGAATGGATGCCGGTTCTCCAACACCGCAGAACACCCCAGAATGAAGTAGCCGCCATCTCGGATTGCTCCACCTACGACAGCTTCTGCGCTCGCGACCTGCCCGCTCCTGCCCCACCCCTCTCACGCGTCCTTCCCGGAACGGAAGAACATTTGCGCGGAGGGCAAGGAGGCGGAGCTAGGACCTCCTGGGGAGGTACAAAAATCTGAAGCCCGCGCGGTCGCTCAGCAGTGACGTAACACGCAGCCGGCGGTGAAGACGTGCGCGCCCTCGCTTCTTCCTCTTTCTCGACTCCATCTTCGTCGTAGCGGCTGCGGGGCCTGCGGTGCAGGTAAGGCTTGGACAACGGCAAATAGATTCGGACGGCTGGAAGTGTGTTGGCCGCGAGGTCAGAGGGCGCGGGAGAAATCGAGGAAGGGGAGCTGCTCTGGGACTCTAATCTAGTGCCCTATCCGAACTCCCTGGCAGACCCTGCCTTCCACACGTGAGCCACCGCAACCACCTCCACCCAGGCACGATCGTCTCTGCGCAACTTTCTACTCCTTGACCTCTTCTAGAGCACTTCTTCTCTTCTCTTACAAACCGCTTTTCTTTCTGCAGTCGCCAACATGCAGCTCTTCGTCCGCGCTCAGGAGTTACACACCCTCGAGGTAACCGGCCAAGAGACTGTTGCCCAGATAAAGGTAAGTTAGTTGCTGCTCCCTGGACCCCAATCCTGTGCTTTTCACTCTCGCGCCCCGCCAGAACGCTTATTCTTATTTTTCTCTGTAGGCTCACGTAGCCTCACTGGAGGGCATTGCCCCGGAAGATCAAGTGGTACTCCTGGCAGGCACACCCCTAGAAGATGAGGCTATCCTGGGCCAGTGTGGGGTGGAGGCCCTGACAACTCTGGAAGTAGCCGGCCGCATGCTTGGAGGTGACTGGGGAAGGGACGTTTTGGAATTGCCTGTAATCTCTTAATGGGTATGGAGATTATGGTCATGGCAATTTGGTGTTATTTCTGTGTCAATACAGATAGTACTTTCCAGTGTTCTCAATTTAGGGTAATTCTTTATGTTACGTCCCTCACATGAACTTTTAAAAGCTTAGGGGACACTGATCCAAACTGTACTTATATTTCAGCTACTTACAAGATCCTTATTTGGCTCTCAGTTTCCACACTAAAATCAGGAGCACAGACCAGATTTCCAGGGTGCTCTGGTGATTCTTGTTTAAAGTCTGAAAAAAGGTGGGGAGTGGTGGCTCATGCCTGTAATTCTGGGACGCCAAGGCAGGTTGATTGCTTGAGCTCAAAGAGTTCAGGACTATCCTGAGCAAGAGCAAGACCTCATCTGTAAAAAAAATAATTGAGCTTTGTGGTGGGTGCCTGTAGTGCCAGCTACTTGGGAGGCTGAGGGAGATCACTTGAGCTCAAGATTTTGAGGTTGCTGTGAGCTGTGATGATGTCACATCACTCTACTGAAGGAGACAAAGTAAGACTCTGTTTAAAAAAAATAAAAATCTGACTAATTTGATGGAAGTATATCGGATTGCATGTAAAAACCCCACACTGTACCCCAGAAGTGCATTAATGCACATAGTTACCATTCAATAAAAAATAAAAGAAAATAAAAAAAAATAGAAATCTGGAAAATCCTGAAGTGAAACTTGGTCAGAGGCCAATTTCTGCAACTTTGTTCTTATTACCTCTTGGACCAACTTAAGTACTTGAGTTGAAAGAAGAGGGATTCTGGTTGGGTAATGCCTTCCTGTTCTCTTACTGGCTGCTGTCCTTCTTTCTTACCACAGGTAAAGTCCATGGTTCTCTGGCCCGGGCGGGTAAAGTGAGAGGTCAAACTCCTAAGGTGAGTGAGATATTAGTGGCACTGTTTGGAGTTGAGACCCTGGACTTTTGCCAGAACTGCCTTTTCCTCCCTGGAGATAAACCCAAGGGAAGGGATACTAGGCATGGAAGAGGTCAACTAGAATCTGATTGCCCCTCCTTTCCTCCAGGTGGCCAAACAGGAGAAGAAGAAGAAGAAAACAGGCCGGGCCAAGCGGAGGATGCAGTACAATCGGCGCTTTGTCAATGTTGTGCCCACCTTTGGCAAAAAGAAGGGCCCCAATGCCAACTCTTAAGTTCTTTGTAATGCTGGCTTTTTCTAATTAAAAAAAGCCAATTAGCCCAGTCATCTTATTGTTTCATCTTTTGCAGGGTCAAAGAGAGAGGTATGCCTTCTAGGGCTGTTTGTTTTGTTTTGAAACAGAGTCTCACTTTGTTGCCCCCAGTAGAGGGCAGTGGCATCATAGCTCACAGCAACCCCAGACTCTTGGGCTCAAGTGATTCTCTTGCCTTAGCCTCCTGAGTAGCTGAAACTACAGGCGCCTGCCACAACTCCTGGCTATTTTTTTAGAGATGGGGTCTCGCTCTAGCTCAGGCTGGTGTCAACTTGTGAGCTCAGGCAATTCACCTGCCTCGGCCTCCCAGAGTACTGGGATTACAGGTGTGAACCACTGTACCTGGCCTTGTTTTGTGTTTGAGATAATCTTTCTGTGCCATGGGTAGAATGTTATGGCATCCTAGTTAATAGCAACCTCAAAATCTTGAGCTCAAGAGATCCTCTTCAGCCTCCCAAGTAGCTAGGACTACAGGCACCCACCACAACATCCTGCTAGGTTCTAAGTCTATCAGTGTACCCTGGAAGAATGGTGAGACAGATAAGGCAGAGGCTCTTGGTCTAGGTGTGGGGGAAGGGGAGGTGGTAAACTATAAGAGAAGATTTCCTGTGAAGCATAGTAACCACAGCCCTTCAGATGTACAGTTGGGGAAATTACTGATAACTACCCCAAGTTCTTTTCATCTTCCAGGTAGCAGGATTCACGGTGATGTGAGGTTGTTAACAGAGACAACAATGGAAAGCAAAGAGGAAAAGGGTTGGGTAGAAAGAAAGTCAGTCTTGCCTTTCCCTAAACTCAGGACCAGCTCTACCTTGGTAGAGTCCAGGGCAGAAACCTTGGCTTTAGAAATTGGTTTTATGGGCTCGGCGCCTGTGGCTCAAGCGACTAAGGCGCCAGCCACATACACCTAAGGTGGCGGGTTCGAATCCCCAGCCCGAGCCTGCCAAACAACAATGATGGCTGCAACCAAAAATGGCCTGGCGTTGTGGCGGGCGCCTGTGGTCCCAGCTACTTGGGAGGCTGAGGCAGGAGACTCGCTTGAGCCCAGGAGTTGGAGGTTGCTGTGAGCTGTGATGCCATGGCACTCTACCCAGGAGGATAGCTTGAGGCTCCGTCTAAAAAAAAAAAGAAAAGAAATTGGTTTTGTGGTGGCTCATGCATGTAATCCTAGCACTCTAGGAGGCCAAAGTGGGTGGATTGCCTGAGCTCAAGGGTTTAAGACCAGCCTGAATAAGAGCAAAACCCTGTCTCTAAAAAAATAGCTGTGCATTGTGGCGGGCACCTATAATCCCAGCTACACGGGAGGCTGAAGAGTCACTTGAGCCCAAGAGTCTGATGTTGCTGTGAGGTAGGATGTAACAACTCTTTACTGAGGGTGAGAAGATGAGACTCTGTCTGAAGAAAAAAAAAAAAAAAAGGAGAGATTGGTTTTGCCTTTGCATTGGTACCATGGTAAGCGATGAACATGGCTTTGTTTGTACTTAACATGCTTGCCTGGCTGGTCTTACTAGTGTAATCACATCTGTTACTGGATAGTTGATTTTTTTTTTTTTTTTTTTTTGCAGTTTTTGGCCAGGGCTAGGTTTGAACTTGCCACTTCCGGCATATGGAGCCGGCGCCCTACTCCTTTGAGCCATAGGTACTGCCCAATAGTTGATGTTTTGGTGTTGATGAAAGTGAGAGTTCTCTAGGGCTAATTCAAGGTTTTCTCTAGCAAAGGATATAAGATGCTTAGATCAGCACTTGGCTCATGGTTAACTTTACAAATACCAACTTTGTCCCTAGTGTTAAAAAAAAGAAAAAGAAATGGCTTCTGCCTTCTAGTGGTTTAGATTTTTATGGTGGAAAGTGAGAAATAGTTACAGGTCTTGTGGCCTCATGGAAAGAAAAGTAGGGCATAAGAACGAAAGTGGGAGAGGGTAGACATAATGAAGAGTATCCCTAAGGAAGACTTCTGAAGATGGGAGAAGCCTGAAATGAGTGAATCAAATGAGATAGGGAGAGAGTTGCTGCCAACATAATTTTGGAGGCAGAGATACGTGAGGGTACCTAGCAGATCCTGCAGGGGCCTTGTCAGCCATAGAGAAATTGGGGTTTGAATCCAAGTGCAATGGAAGGTCACGGAAAGATTTTGACAAAAGACTGATGTGCTCTGATTTGTGATCTTAATTTCTTTGGTAGGTTTTTTCTGGAGGGCTGGTGAGAAAGGTGACAGCCAGTTGATCAGGCAGATAACTCAGACCACCAGTAGCAGTAGGGATGCAAATAAAGTCTTCAAGTCTATCCACATCTTAGTAGGGAAATAACATGATTCATATCAAGATAAATAGAAGGTATTTTGGAAGCAAAAACAACAGTGTAGGATTGTAACTGAGATGAGTGACCAAGAACCAGGGCTTCCAGAGGTGCCATGGATTGAGATTATGCCTCAATTTGCCTCATCACCCCCACAGCACCACAAGACTAAGTTCTAGGACAGGAACCCCATCTCTTTTATACCCAGTGTGTTCTTTGCACCTATCATGTATGGAATTTACACTTAGTAAGTTGAATGAGAGGATCCGTGTTATGGGAAGTTTCCTGGTAAATGCTGATCTCTGGTCAAGCTTCATTTTGGTTCTCCCTCTGCTCTATCCTGATTGACATCTTGAGCTTTTTCTTCTCAAAAGCCTTCCTCGCCAGGAATTTGGACTTAATTCTCCTTTTTCTTTGCTTCTTCCACTCATGTGTGCATAAACAGATGAACAACTTTTGATAAGATTTCTTCCTTCATACTTATAATTATTTTAAGATGGAACCTTATAGATGGAATTACTGAACTAAAGAATATGACCATTCCCCCCCCTAAAAAAAGTAGGATGAATGGTGGTGCTATTTAACACATTAACTGCTGTATGAGTTTTAATTAACGCTAGTTTTTGAGCCTGGGACCTTGGTGAAGCATGTATAACTCCCTTCTTTTGACCTAATAAAACATCTGGCCCCAAGGGGAAAAAAAATTTCTAGTGTGGTAGTTTAATGAGAAAATATTTAATGGAAAGAGACCAGTTTGGAGTAGGAAATCAAATACAAGTTCAAGTCTTAAACACTGCTGTCTGGGGAGGAAGGGAAATCCCCCCAACACAGCCAGGGTTGGCTAGGTGCCCCCATCTTGGCCTTTGTTCCACTCTGACTGCCCCTTTATCTATACTCCCTTATTAGAATGGCTGCTCCTCAACGCAGCGACGCGCCTCACCTTCCGTAGACCTGATACAATGGCCCAGCGTAGGTTCCTAGAAATGCCCTAGTGCACCACCACAAAGCTAAAAAGAATTTACTTTGGGGAAATCTAGGGTCACGTTCTGGAGCGACCACTAGGAGGCAAGCTGGGACTGGCGGTGCGCTCACCTGGCGCACTTTTCCATGATTGTGCGGGCAGGTCTTGCGCGTGACGACTAGCTTCAGCACCTATCCTGTTTAGAAAGGAGGGGTTTGCATGGCTTCCGGTGGTGGGCGGAAATTGCCGAGAAGCCGCGGGAGTGAGCTTAATTTAAGCGCCGCGTCCGTCCCTCAAAGAGGCGGAAATGAGCGAAGCAGCACCGGAAGCCAAGCTAGAGCTGTGCGCGCTCGCGGGCAGCACGCAGCGCCAGTTGCCATGGAGCCGCCGGGGCCCTGTGGTTTCTGCCCGGCGGGGGAGGCCCAGTCAGCGCGCTACACCTGCCCCCGCTGTAATGTGCCCTACTGTTCGTTGCGCTGCTACCGGGCGCATGGCACTTGCGCCGAAAATTTCTACCGTGACCAGGTGCTGGGAGAGCTCCGCGGCCGCAGCGCCTCGCCCAGCCGTCTGGCAAGTGCCCTGCGCCGGCTGCGTCAGCAACGCGAGACCGAGGACGAGCCCGTGGAAGCAGGCCTCAGCCCTGGCCCGGCGCCTGGCTGCCTCTCAGGACTCTGGGAGCGGCTGACACCAGTCGAAAAAGCGACTTTCGAGCGCTTGCTGAGCCGCGGCGAAGCCGGGCGGTTACTACCTCCGTGGCAGCCGTGGTGGTGGGGCCGCAGGAATGAACCGTGGCTTCTGGAGGAGCTGGATGATATCTCAGGTAGTGATGCCTCAGAACCGGAGCCCGTCCCTGCGAGAACCCCACCAGAATCGGTGAAAGATAATGCCAACGCAGAGTCCGTGGCCAATGAGCGGGTTTTTGGAGTCGTCTTCGGAGCCTGCCCGCCCGCTGTGCCCGCCCGCATCCCCGCGCTGGCCAGCCTAAGCCGCGGTCCCCTCTCTCCGCTAGTGCGCTTCCAGCTGCCCAACGTGCTGTTCGCATACGCGCACGCGCTAGCCCTGTATCATGGCGGTGACGACGCGCTGCTGTCTGAGTTCTGTGCTACTCTGCTGGGCGTTTCTGGAGCCCTGGGCGCCCAGCAAGTCTTCACCTGTGCGGAGGAAGCTCTAGAGGCCGCAGCCCACGTACTGGAAGCGGGCGAGCACCCGCCTGGGCCTCTGGGTATGCGCGGTGCTATGCAAGAGGCCGCCCGCATTTTGCAGGGAGAGGGTCGGGCCAACCAAAAGGACTACACGCTGGCAGCACTAGGGCACCTGGCGCAGACCCTGGGCCGGGCCCGGAAACTAGCCATGGACAGGGAGGAGCGAGACCGCCTCTACCGGGCCCGGAAGAAGTGCCAGTTCCTGCTGGCCTGGACCAACGAAAATGAGGCAGCCCTCACACCTCTGGCTGTAGACTGCGCCAGGGCCCACAGAACCCATGCTGTGGCAGCAGAGGAGGTGGCAGCCCTCACTGGAGAGCTAGAACGGCTCTGGGGAGGCTCCATGCCACCTACCCCAAAGACCCTCATTGAGGAGCTCCCTGGGTAAACTGGGGACTTTTGTCATTAATAAAGTTGTGACTGGTCTGCCCTGTTGGCAGTGCCCATTGCTTTATTTATTTTTAAGAGACAGAGTCTAACTCTTGTTCAGGCTGGGATGCAGTGGCTTGATCACAGCTCATTGCAACCTCAGACTCCTGGGTTCAAGCAGTCAGCAACCATCTCCCAGTGAAAACTGTTGTCCCACCCTACCCTGGACTCTTGGGCCCACAAACTACCCAGCTGCTCACTGATGAGGGCTGACTAAACAAGTCATAAACACCTGGCACCAGAATGGGAGAGAAGTGCACCAAGGGTTCCAGTTATCCAAAGGAGGAAGAAAATTTCCATTTTGGGGCACTGGCTTCATTTTCTCCTTGCCCCAAACCACTTCTTCTCTGAGGCTGTTCATCCTGCCTAATGGAGCTGTGGTTTGGGTAGGGTGCAGACCCTTGAGTCCTCAGTGTGTCCAAGCTCCTGGGCCTGAGTGTGCAGGTGGGTGGGTAGGCACATGCCCTGACTTGGAACAGTGAAGCTGCTTCAGTAGATGTAAGGCACAATACGGTAAGGCACACGCTGGCAGTATTCGTGCCAGGCCAGGCCATACTTCTGCAGACACTGCTGCTCATCCCGGGCCTCACGGTGCACCAGCAGTGCAGTGAAGTAGAGGAGGTAGAAGTAGGGCAGCAAGTGGGACACCCCTGCATGAAGGGAGGCTCCGTAACCACCCCACAACCCTTGAATTCAGAGATTTTCACACATAATGGCTCATAAGGCATCAGGGCTTAAAAATGAAAGGTTCAAGGTCTGTAGTGAGATGCATGGTACAGAAGTGTACCCCAGCCACACTGGGTCAATCCCCAGGTCCCTGCCCCTGACATTCCCCTGCCGGCATCCAGCCAGGCCACTCACCACAGGGCAAGGACCAGGCTAGAGCCATGATGAGATCTCCAAGGTAGTTGGGATGTCGGACCATCCCCCACCACCCAGACACCAGCAGCTTCCGTCCTGTGGCTGTCGGGATGGTTTCAAGACCTGGGAAAGAACAGGATGGGAAAATCCCAGAAAGCCCAACAGTCTGACCCTACCCCTGGCACCCCGGAGACCCAGCTCACCAGCCACTCTGGGATCAGAAGGATTCTTTCGGAAAGTGTTTTTCTGGGAATTAGCCCCACGGAAGATGTAGTAACCAATGGCTAGGGGGAAAGTATGAGCAGATGCTCAGGGTTGAGGGTCTTATGCCTGACCCTGGCCGTCCTCCCAACCTGTCCACACCCCACTTTGCCTGGACACCCAGAACGCTATTCCCAGCTTTGGAGAATTGCCTGAGTCTTAGCACTTACCTGTGGGTGCTGCATAAACAGAATGAATAAAAGGGGGTGGGGGAATGTTAGGCCCAACTTGGTGCCTCTTCCTGACTGACCATTGATAAGGCAGATGACTGAGGCCATGGGCAAGCCCAGGGATTGCGGGTGGTACAGCAAGAACTGGGCCTGCAGGCTGTAGGTGAAGGGTACCCAAGCTAAGTCTCCAAAGGCCAGCATGAAGCCAAACCCATCATGTGTGATATCCATGGTGGTGAGGACAGCCTCCTGCAAGGACAAGACCCAGACATATTGTCTTGATCCCTAGAAGTCCTCAGGCACCCTTCTTTGCCTCCCTTGTCCAGTTCAGCCTCACCTCGTGCCAGAGAGCATCACCCACATAGAGTAGCTGGAAGCCATTGACCAGCCACATGGCCAGTGAGGGACTCCCCCGCAGCTCCGCCTCCTGCGCCAGCAAGGCCAAGTTGATGAGGACCTGCGATAAAAGAAGTCATCATGTCTATAGAAGTGGCAGCACCTGGGCAGAGCACTGGCAGCCTTTGGCCTTCTCTCAGCTGTCAGTCCCACTTCAGTCCTTTCTTTGGTGGAGGGACTATGGAGGGCTGCCTCTGAAGGGCCTGTTTGCTCTCACATTGTGGGGAACAACTGGGCACTCAGACTCCAGAGTTCAAACAGACCTTGTTTGTTTGTTTGGGGTTTTTTTGCAGCTTTTGGCCAGGGCTGGGTTTGAACCTGCCATCTCCAGCATATGGGGCTGGTGCCTTACTCCTTTGAGCCACAGGCACCACCTGTTTCTTTTTCTTTTTTTTTTTTTTTTTTTGAGAAAGAGTTTCACTTTGTCGCCCTCAGTAAAGTGCTATAGCATCATAGCTCACAACTTCAAATTCTTGAGCTCAAGTGAGCCTCTTGCCTCAGCCTCCCAAGTAGTTGGGACTACAGGTGCCCACTACAATGCCCAGCTATTTTTAGAAAAGGTGTCTTCCTGTGGCTCAAGTGGCTAAGGCACCAGCCACATACACCTAAGGTGGCAGGTTCAAATCCAGCCTGGGCCTGCCAAACAACAATGATGGCTGCAACCAAAAAATGGCCAGGCGTTGTGGCGGGCGCCTGTCGTCCCAG